ATCTCCCCTGCCCCAGTTTATCTGTTTAGAATTCAGATCCATACCCTCCCTATCTCTTCTCTTCTCTTTTGGGAAATGCCTACACTTTGCCACTGTTTCAACCCAGAACCTGGATACTTCCCACAGCTCTCCCATTGGGTGGCTTCTGGCCTAGACTCTCTCCTGGTGCCTGAATCTCCTCTCCCTCTGAGGTGCAGAGCCTCTCTACCACTGCATGAGTTCAGCCCTCAGCCTCCTTCTCACTTCACTGGTCTTAGAAGCCTGATCATTGGCATCTCTGAATCTAGTTTTGCTTTTCCACAGGAGCCTCCCACCACCCACATACTTTCTTTCACTGATTCCCTTCTCTTTGTCCCTTTCCTCCTCAGGGCCTCTAGGGCAGTGGTGTTAAAACTACAGCATTCATGCCACAGCGGGGGCGTTGTATCATTGAAAGCTCTAAAAGCTTCACCTTTACTGCTCTAAGGCCAGATGAGGTTGACTTTCTCAGGTGCCCACCAGTGTTCTTTTACATACTTGGTCATGAAGGAAACCTACTATCCATGGTACTTCCTGCTAGAGAGAGTTCCACTGGGACAGTGGCTGTGTCATCTCGCTTATTGTCCACACAGACAGGGAGGTTTCCCGCTCACTTCAGCAGAGCAGGTGGGAAACCTGTGTGGAAGTCAGGTGCCCAGAAACGAGGATGCTGTCCCTCACAGCTGCATGAGGCCCCTGTGCAAGGCAGAAAGCGAGTAGAGGGCCCCCTGAGGATCCTAGGGCGGCTGAGGGAATAGCATATTGTAGAAGGAGCAGAGCGACTGCTGAGAATGAGTGCCAGCAAGAGAGAAGAAAACAACTTGAGCTTGAGCAGTGTCTTGGAGACGGAGGTGGGAGGCAGGAGGTGGGCAGGCCCTGGACATATCAGGAGAAAGCGTCTCGTGGTCAGAGGCTCTGCATGGTTTTCTTAGCGTTTGTTCTGATCAGTGTTGTTCTACCAAAAGTGTTAGTCTTCAGCGTTCACCACATGACACAGTTTTGTATCCTTGTAAAGAATAGTAATTTGAATTTTCAAAACTTTTGAATGTGATTCTGATCTGAAAAACCACAGCTGAATTGAAGTAGAAAATGGATTTCTGTGTGATGATTTCAGAAAGACCCACAGACCCATGGCATGTCCTGCTCAGAATCATATCGAGAAGGCTGGGCTTGCAGGTACCCAGGGTGCAGGTGGCCTGTGCCCCCTTAGGTGTGTTTGTACATTTTCTCCAAAGAGTTACAAATGAACAGGACCTTTGACTGCAGCCTCACCTATCTTGCTGTTGAGAGATCCTGAGGGACAGTCCCCCTAGAAGTATCTCAGGGGCTTGTGCTGACGTGCACGGGCCCATTTCATAGAGGAATCAGCTGCCGTCAGTCATGACTAGCATCTGGGAGTCATCCCCACTGGCCCTGGAGGGACAAGATAAACGGCCTAATGAGTAGCAGAGATTATCTCATCTTCATGGTCTGGTTAAACACGCTGTGCCGTGTGCGTTAAAAACAAACTACCATCCACAGGATGGATGTGCCTACGCTGGACTCAGCCCCCAAAATCCATCGCATCCTTCATCAACCACAGGTCTTGTACCCGTCTGACAGAAATTTAATTCAAGCTGGCTCCTGAAAATAATTATTGTATTTTAAGAGTAGTAATCATTGGCCGGGACATGATTGAATGTGTCCATGCCTATTGACTTTTTCTATGATTTATAGCTTTGTTTAGTCGATATTCTCATCGAAATTGTATAATTAATTATAAGTGTGGCTGTCAGGGCTGCAGGATGGAGTGCCCTGGTGAGGATTTGGAGAGATTAAATTTTCCTTGGCTGTCCCAGGGCAGGGCTTGGGAATTTTCGAGGTGCTTGGCCTGTTGGATAGAGATGTTTTCTGTGTGTTTAGCAACCGCCCAAGCTCCACATGCATTGATTTTCTGGGCTCTTTTTTTCTTTATCAGCTCAGTGTCTCTGCAGCAACAGTGGAATTTGTGCAGCTGGGACAGCTCCTGACAGATACGTATGACCAGCAGCTGCTTTATCATTGTCTACACATAGCCTTCGCTGTTTTTCACTTTGTAATCAGGAAAAATGTTTAAGATACATGTGAAATTGGTTATTATGTTTGTGAAAAATCTCAGAGAGATACAAATTATCAATTCAACAGCAATGCAGTGTGATTTCTAATCAGAAACATCTCTGATATTTTGTGCTGGTGGCAGCGGTGGTTTTAATCCACGTCATTTCATGTTGATGTGGCGGGGCTGGAACCTTGAGCAGTCTCCGCACTGGACACACACGGTGCGAGTCGCCCTGGCCTGCCTGCACCAGCTGGCTGAGTGGGACCGAGTGCGCCCACCTGTGTCTACCTCCACGCAGTCAGGGAGCAGTCTTACACTTGTCCGTGTGACTTTCATGTTAACTTCTGTGTCTCCATTCAGTGTGAAGGCCCAGAGGGGCAGAGACTGAGTCTGGTTTGTTGATGGCCGGCGCACACCCGGCTCACTAGAGGTACCTAATGAGCATGTGTGAAATTGGAATGCATGTCCACTCAGATTTCAGGACCTTTCTGTTCAAAGACAAGCAAGTTGGCCAACAGTGGGTGATTTAAGGAAACGTATACCATGCGGCAGTTTTTCTTTTAGTATCAGGGCTGGAGACTTGAGACTGGAGACTGTCAGGTGAACACATGCGGGCGAGGGTGGCTTACACAGTTCCTAGCCATCCGTCCCTCCAGGGCTGTGGTGCTATTGGATCCGCTTAAAGATAAAATTTATTCCAAGCCAGAGATTTGATTTCTTTATTTTTACTTCACACCTGTGAACATGGGGGAGGGGCAGTAAGACAGTGGCCTCAGTCTGCTGAGCAGTGCCGAATGCTGCCACTCTGGAGTGGCCACAGACAAGCCTCATGTGGCCAAGCTGGGAGCAAATAATAAATGGCCTCCACCTGCCGGCCCTCTGCAGCCCCCAGCAACCTCAGGCCCATTTACCTTTTCAAAGTCTCCCCATTTCTCTGTAACTTGCGTGTGTGTGTTCCTGTGTTTACAAGAGTTGTCTGCTGTTCAGTTGGAAGTTCCAGGCAAAGCCCTCAAAACAACACTTTTCACTGCATGGAGGTTGAGACCTACCTCCCCAGAGAGGGAGGTCAGTTTTCTCAAGCATCTGCATTTTAGGGCAGGGTCTACGGGGTATTCAGGGTCTCACTACATGGATTGGACTCATAGTGATTTTCCTGTTTTCAGCCTCCCAAGTGCTGGAATTACAGGCGCACACCACCACACCCAGTCTCAGTTGCTGTCTCAGTGCTCCCCAGGGGCAGGGCCTGCATTTCATGCCTGGGAATTGAACCCTGGCCACTGTGGTTTGCCTAAGCAGGCGCTTTAGTCCACTGAGCTCTCAGGCTGGCCCTATTCTAGAATTTCTTTTTTTTTGTCTGACTCAGGCAGCCTTAAGGCCAGATCTGGGGATTGAACTGGCCAGATCTGGGGATTGAACTGTGGTCCCCTGCGTCTGACTGGGTTTGCCCAAGCAGGTGCTTAAACAACTGAGCTAACCCGCAAGCACCCCTCAAGCACTCTTAAAAGTAGCTCTTTGTGCCCAGTTTCCGGGTCCAGTGGCCAAGAGGCCGTGCGTGCCCAGCCTGCAGCTTCCTGGTGAAGCCTGAGCCCTTCTTTCCTCCTGAAGCCTCCTAGTGGAGTGTGCAGGTGTTTTCCTCCTGAGTGTCCAGGCCTGCACTCTGGGTGGCTCCCTGGTCAGTGTCTCTGACTGGGATGCTTGAGAGGTGCTATGAAACAGGAATGGGGCTGTCCAGGGCCAGCCTCAGAAGCCGGGGGCCTGGGTAATGTCTGGCTTCCAAGACATCCCTTCAAAATACAAGGAAAAGGAAGAGAATGGCACCTCTTTTTTGAACTCTGGAAGTTATATTTTGAGAGCTTCTTGCCTGCTGTTTCTATCACTAGATTAAAATCTTTTGGAGGCCATTCCCACAATCAGAAATTTCTACAAATGCTAAAATGGCCAACTGGGAAAGTGGAGCTCACAATCCCAAGCTGTATAACATTTGCGGAACCATTTCCTTGGTAGGGATAGTCTGAAATACAACCATCAATGGAGTAGAGTCCCAAGAAGTTCAGATGATTCAGTAGTGAGACATATAATAACTATATATTGGTAAAATATTTATTGACAAGCAACTGTACTTCCACTTCATGGTGACAAACCAAAACAAAACACATTGTTTACAAAAGTTCTAAAATATAAAATAGTGATATATCTCACCACAGAATTTATAAGACCCATATACGGGCTGGGAGCATAGCACAGCAGCATAAGCGCCTGCCTGTGAGCATGGGGTCCCTGGTGTCTCAGGCTTGCTGGCCCCAGAACCAGGCTTGGTGGTGCGTGCCTGTAATCCCAGCACTAGGGAGGCTGAGACAGGAGAAACACTGAGTACAAACTACATAGTGAGACCCTGTATCAAAAAAATTAAAATAAAATAAAATTTAAAATAAAAAGAAACAAGACCTATATACAGAAAACTAGAAAGCATTATAGAGAAATTGAAGATTTTAAGAAATACATTTTAAGATAAAACATTTGAAAACAATTTTCTACAAAATGTATTTAATTTTGAAGAAAACTGACCTAATTAAAGGAACCTTTTTTTTATTGTTGCCGAATCAGGTATTGAACTCAGGCCCTTGCACTTGCCAGGCAAGCACTTATTCGACTGAACCATCTCCCCAGCCCTTAAACTGACCTAATTAATTCTAATAAACTTTTAGTTTTTTAAATTGGCAGGCTTTTCTAAAATTGATGCAAAAATCCAAAATCATGACTTAAAATCGTTGAAAATTTTGAAAAGGAAAAAATTTTGGTAAGGCGAACATGATATTATTTTCAGAATTAATATAGAATCAATGTACATTTATAAAGGGTGACCCAATTTCAGGCCCTGTTGTAGCCAGACAGAGGCTTTCTTTCTCTCAAGAAATTCTTCTTGTACACACACACACACACACACACACACACACACACACACTCTTATTCACTCTTTCAAATTCCCATACTTGGGTGATAATTCTGTATTTACTCATGTGAATCTGATTTTTTTTTCACTTGCGTGGGCTTGAGTCACATCCATTTACCTATAAATGTCTCCAGTTTATCTTTCTTTATAGCTGAATAATACTCCAATGTATAAAAGACCATCTTTCCATCCATTCTCTGGTTGATGAGCATTTGGGTGGTTTCCAAGATTTTGCTATTACAAATTGTGATGCTATAAACATGGGTACACTGTCTTTTTAATTATTAAAAGACATGACAGAATCGATAAAAGTACCCACCATGAAAAAACAAAACAAAACTAGTAGACCAGAAAATCTACAGAGCTTGAAGTATATAGTGGTGGAAAGAACCTGGGAAAGGGTTAGATTACCCTGTAAGAAAACCATATTCAGCTGGTGTCAGCAGCCAGAAAATAATGGAATGATTTGAGCAAAGAGAAAACTAATGGCATGGAATTGTGTAAGCGGCCAGCTCCCATTTCGCCAGCCAGGATACGGACGTTTCTCTGGCCCCAAGAGACCTGGTCTTCCGCGGGTCCTTAAGGAGAACTAGGAGCAGCTACATTGTGGAGCAGGCAGGATGAAGGGGACGGGATGTTTGCAGGGAGTCTTAACGCATGGAAGGGGAAGCAAGAGTGGGAGCATGTGCAGCACAGCGATGGCAGAAAAGTATGCTTCGAATTGATAAAGCACCCAAGGCGCAGTCACCCTGGGGGTCCCAGTTACATGGTGTCACGTGGGTGTGGTACAAGCGAGGTTTCATTTCTTCCTTAAAAGTCTGCAGTAAATGTGAAAGAAGTGACAAGATCTGTTGATTACAGGTAGCGTGAACCTCAAACTCTCCCTACACTTTCCTGAAACTGACATTTGTCATTGTCATTCTTGTTCAGAGGCCACAGTTTGTTCCTAGGCAGGTAGCTACAGAGCAAGCTTGGTTGCTCTTACTGTTCATCTTGGCCAAGACCATGTCAGTGCCAGACTAGAGCCAGTAACCTTCCTAGCACACGGCCTGCGTGCCAGACCTGGTGCTCCCTGCTGTGGAAACACACCATGTCACAGTCTGGTAGCTGCCAGAAACACCATTAAGCTGGGTGAGGTGTACTGTGGAGGTTCCCTAATAGTGGGAGATCGATTCATATGAGGCACCTTCCAGGCCCCTCATCCTTGATGTCTGAGTCACAACCAGGCAGTTTGGGACCCTGCCTCATATCTCTGTCTAGGATGCTGCAGGATGTGGCTTTGATAGTGTAAGATTGGAAGAAGGCAGCTCTGTTTGGATGGTCCCTTGCTTTAAAGGGGCTTTGGCTTATTCCTCCTATCCCTTTGTCATAAGCACTACTGCTTATGGGACTGCAGCTATTTCCTGTGACCTAACCTTGATTTGGTCCCAGACCACATCAGCTGATGAGCAGGAGTAGGCCCACCACATACTGACCAGTGAAAGTGGCGCAGTGGCGGAGGGCAGGTAGGAAGCCCAGTGCAGGTGGCCAGGTAGCAGCCTGGCACATAGGTAATTACTGTGTACATGATGCTGCTAATTGCATGTTCAAGAATGATGGATGAGGTGGCAAGAAGGAGCGAGGACACAGTATGGTTTTGAGGGGAGCCCCTAGCGCAATGCCGTGTCCCCACACAGCTGTGGAGTGGGACATGATTGATGAACAGTGTCCCAGAGGGTGTGCTTGGTGATCACCAAGAGATGCAGCCATTGGGGACCCGTTCATTCCAGGGGCACAGTACTCTCTGGAGTTTGTCTCTGAAGCATCCCAGGGGGACAAGCTGTTTGCTGCCTTCTCCATGTGTAGTAATCAGCATTTCTCCTCATTTGTTAGATTCTTACCATGTGGAAATAATCCACTCATACGAAGTTGACCCCACTTGCTGTGTGAGCCACTTCAGGCATTTGCACAGCAGGAGCAGTGTTCCTTCTGTGAGAAAGGGTTTTCCACACTAGTGAGGGCTGCCCACCCCCTGGCTCGGGTGAGCATGTTAGGTACCTGCATGTGCCTTGAGTGAGCAGAGCCAGGCAGCTCAAGGGCTGCTGGTTACATTGCTCATAGCAGACAGCCGACCACCAGAGTGGCGTGGGCAGGCACCCTAGACCTTTCTGGTGACCTGACCTAGCAAATCCTAGGTAAGGCAGATGTCACACTGAATGCTTGAGCCCTGTGGGCTTCTGGGAAGTTTTCCACGAAGGCCTGTGGGTTTCCGGCTGCACATAGAGCCCAGTGCCTCCAGTGAGGAAAACCTAGGTGACTTTATTTTCTTATCTTCTCTTTAGCTCTTGGAGTTTGACAAAGAGTTGTCTGTCTTTAAAGACAGACTGTATGAACTGGACATCTCATTTCCCCCCAGGTAAGGCACAGTGCCTCTACTGGATGAACCAGGTAACCTTGCTTCTTCAAGCCATGTGTGTGTCAGTGCGTGTGCTCCCATCTCGGTGTGTTTCTGTATCTGTATGTACCTGTCTGCATGTGTGCATTTGTGTCAGTGTGCATGTGTGCTAAATGCACTCCTTCCACCCTTTGCAGTCCCAAAAAACAAAATTAGCTCAGAGTAAAAAATAATTTTGTTACTTTTTCTTTTTTTGAGTGTGCAAAGTAAGGCCAATTAAAGCTGAACATGTGGGCTTCCCTGGGTAGCTGTATCTGTGGCTCTTTCTGGGAAATGTCAGCTATACTGCTGTCACCCCCTGCCCCCAGTGGTGGAGGGGCCCAGAGGAGTGCTGGTCTGTCTTCTCAGGCAGGTTTCTCTGTTTCACTGTGACGTTTATGGAATCTTGAAATCTACATCAATAATAATGGTTCCCTTCAGAACACCTTAAGGCCTCAGATGATTATGGTTTAAGAAAGCAAAATGATTTGACAGAAACTGTCCAGGAACTGTGGCCAGGCCTGGATCTGCAGTGCTCTGCACCGTGGCCGCCTTGGCTGTGCTGGGTTTTCCTGAGGAGGGATGCATCAGTGTCTGCTGGGCCCTCTGGGACACAGGCTCTATCTGGACGCCGCTCACAAGAAGGTGGTTTGCCTGTCGTAGGTGCAGGCTTCCATAGCATTTCTCTCCACTTTCTCAGGTCCCAAGTCAAAAATGTCCATGCTCTGGGTGAAAAGCACACCTGGGGTGATAGACTGTCTGACAGACATGAGAGTCATGGATGGTGACAAGGATCATGCCGGGTGGTACCTGCCTCACACACACTTGTTTTGCACCAGGTGCAGCAATAAACAGTTCACATTCTTACTGTGGAATAAGCAGTCACACATCTTGAATGTACCTAACAGCCAGGCAGCCTTTCACCCACCTTGCAAGGGTCACCCTCATAGCTGTGCCAGTGGTTGAGTATGTGTAGCCTGGAAGACTCTGCTTTGCATAGGGCCTAGCATTCCTGAGGCTCTTTACCTGTAGGGTCAGCTTGTACCCTCTCTGACCTGGGTCAGAGGAGGTCTGTCCCCTCTGGCAAGGATCTGGGTGCCTAGACCGTTGGGTGAAGTTTAGGGGTCTAGAGGAGCAGGGACTGCAGGCCCACTCGTCCTTAGGGTGGTCCATACCCAGGTACATACACGCAGTCATAGCAGTGAGGCTCTGGGAGATGGCGCAACAGGGTACTGACCTGCAGCTCTGAGTCTAGGAGTACCTGGCAGTACTCTAGATCACAGTCAGATACTCAGTGAAGCGACCTTCTGCGTATATCCTAAATTGAAAACTGATTTTAGCACTTGCTCTGGTCCCCCATTCTGCAAGTCAGGCAATCTTGAACACTCCTCCTTCTGAACAACAGAATACTTAATGAAAGCTCAAAGATGTCTTTCCCTGGTCTCTATTGGGCTGTCCAGAACACCACCCTGTGGGGTTTGTTAGCCCAGTTGGGATTCTCACCCAGTGCTTGGAATTACTTAAGTACTAGAAATACAGGGCAGGGCCTGGCTAGGCTGGGAGTTGAAGGACTTCTGAGGGTCCTTCTGTCCACACCCGGGCAGGGGCTGGAGTCAGCTCCCCCAGACTGGGGCCATCTGTACCACCCTAGAAGGTTCTGGAAGGTTGAGAAGAAAGGCATCAGCTAGGTTCCTTGCTGGGTGTGCCTCTGGTGCTTAGAAGCAGAAGCCTTCTAGAAGGTGAATCGCTGAATATCTGCTGTGGTGGGCAGGGTCCGTCAGCCCTCCAGGGTCCTCATCCCACACAGGAGAGCAAAGCTGTTGTGGTATTTTAGAGGTGGGGTTTTGGCACCAACTAAAAAATAAAGTGGCCTTGCCCCCAATCAATGTCTATGGAGTATAATTGGTTAGTATGGTCAGAGGGCATATTAATCCAGGTTCTCTAGAGGAACAGAATGGGGTGGGGGAGATGGGAGAGAGAGACAGGCAGACAGACAGAGAGATGGACAGACAGACAGACAGACAGGAAGAAAGAAATTGTGATGGAGATTGTCAATGAATGAGTGAATGAATGTATGAATATCATTGTGAGGGAGAATTTATCAGATTGGCTTATAGAATCAGAGGTTTTATAGTCCCAAATGGCTGCCTGCAGGCTGGAGAGCAAGGGAAGTGTCAGAACAGGACAAGAGGGACCAGTGATGCAGTTCTGGTCTCCGGATGAAGGTGGGAAGCCCGCTAGGCACTGGATGTGAATCCCTGTTCGAATGATGAGGAAGCTGAAGTCCAATGCCCAGAGGTGATGCCAGCAGCAAAAAACCCCCGCACTTGTTCAGGGGCCGAAGACTTGAATCTCATGCATGCAAGCTTCCTCCTCCTTTTACTTTTTTGTTCCACCTGACCCCTCACCTTGTTGGGTGGCTCTGCCACACTCAGAGTTAGCCTTCCACACTCTGTCCACCAGCCATTATCTCTGGACAAACCATCACAGGCATATCCAGGAGTGCACTTTACCACTTTTCCAGATATTTCTTGATCCAATCAACTTGACAGCCAAGATTAGCTATTACAGAGTGTCCCCAGAATGTACATGACCTCATCCCAGGAGTGGTTATATGGCTTGCCAAAGGGGCTTGATAGAGGCAGTCAAAGAAAATATTCGTAAGATAGTAGCCTCAATTACTGTGCTGGGCCCAACTGAATAACCTGAGCCCTTTTTTTCTGGCTGAAGGCTGAGAGAGATGGGCAGGTGGGAAGTTCAGAGTTGTAAGGTGGACTCAGGTATCACGCTGGCTTGGAAGTTCTTGAGGGCTTGTCCTGAGGGCAGTCCAGTCTGAAGGCCAGCGAAAAAATAGGACCTCTCTGCCAGGTGGGCCTGGCTGCACAACCTCAACCTCAAGGTTGGGCAGAGCTGGCACCATAACTCTGACCTTTGAGACCCCAAGCCAAGGCTTCCTGGATTCCTGACCACAGTCTTGAGTCCTGCCCACAGTCTTGAGAACTTGCATCATCCTGTTTTGTTTGTTTCTTTCTATCGCCCCTCTCCTGCCTCCTGGTACTTGGAATTGAATCTAGCTATACATCCAAATCTGTATGCTTTGATGTGGGGCTGTGGCCTACTGCTTACCTGTGGCCTCACCATCTGCCCATGTAAGGTGCTTCCTCTTCAGGGTGGCTGAGCCAAGTGGCTCCTCCTGCTCCTGACCCCTGCAAAGCATCACCTCATTGAGGCTAGAGTCTTGATGGTCCTGGCAACAGGGGCTTGCCCAGTCCTTCCTGACATCATATTGGCTTTATAGCAATAGAGAGTGAACAGTTTCCCAGATTGAAACACCACCTGTATCTTCCCCACGTGAGTCACGTGTGTTCTGTGTGTTGGTTGGCAGGATTTGTTTTTCTTCTCTGTGTGAATTCTTATATATTAAGGATGACAGTGTCTACAATGTTCATGGCTTTGGGCTCTAAAAAGTAGCAGAGTATTCATAGACATGCTTATATAGCATAGTGAATCTTCCTATTTATTAAAAAGAAAAATCCTGTCCCATCATCCTATCCCTGAACATAGTTTTTTGAAAGCAACTCCTACAGAATCAATGCTCAACCAGTTTAGGCTGGGACCCCTTTATACTTTTAAAACTTTGGGGGACCTCGAGGAGCTTTTTTAAAAAAATTTTTTTTTAAATCTTTTATTTATTTATTTGGTACAGGGTCTCACTATGCAGCTTGGACTCAGTGATCCTCCTGTCTCAGCCTCCTGAGCTCTGGAATTACAGGCATGTGCCATCATGCCTGGTTTCAGTGGCTGGCACAGCGCACCCACAGTTGCAGGGCCAGCACAACATACGGTACGGGGACTCGAACCCAGGTCCCTGCGCTTGCCACACAGGCACTTAGACTGCCAAGCTATCTCCTCAGCCCTAGAGCTTTTGTTTTTGTGCATTGTATCTATAGTTTTATGAATTCTAAGTGTCTCTTAATCCATTTAATAATAAACTCATTACATGTTAACATAAGTAACATTTTATGAGAGAAGTAACTTTTCTAAACAAAAATTTGTGAGAACAGCATTTCATATTTTTAAATGTCTGTAAGATTTTGCTGGCTAGGTGATGGCTAGAACATGTGGAGTGGAGCTGGCCTCCCGCGGCGGAGGCCTGTGGCCATGGGGGCTGCCAAAGCCACCCTGGAGACTGGATGTCCTCTTCCAGCTTGCAGACACAGTGATTTCTTGGAAGGTTGATGCAGGGCGTAGTCAGAAGCTATCCCCAGTGGACGGCTCGTTTCTCCGTTTGAAGTGGGTCTGTGGCCCCTGCGCCTGCTGGTGGCAGCTGCGGTAAGCCCTTTGGAAATCCTGAGGGCTGAGCCAGGCAGGCTTCACAAAGCTGATGGCAGCTCCATCAGGACACCCCAATCTCAGCAGAGGAGCAAATGTTGGATTTTTATTGAAAGTTTGAACTGTGTTGTTGGAAACAAATAATATCAGTTGCTTCCCTGGAAAGGCAAGTCCATCTTGTACCTTTATGAGAAGACGCCGGCCAACTGCCTTGCCTGAGTAAGTGCGCGCCTGCGTCAGTCTGCCTGCAGGAATGGCGTTCCACGGAAGCAAGTGACTACAAAGCTGACAGCACGGGCACTGCAGTACTGACCACACGATGCCAGCGTGGGGGGCCCAGACCTCCTTCTGGGTGTGCCCAGCTGAGTTCTAAAACTCAGATTCCCCAGACGTGAGGTTCTGTAGAAGTAAACATTTACACTGCTCCATCAGGGGACACATAGGTGACTCTGGCTTCTGCAGAGCTGTAAGTATGACACTGGGCGAGTGACACTCCTGCTTAGCCCCGCTGCTGCCTGGTTGCCACTCAGGCCACAGTGGCCTGCATCGTCATCACTGGAAATAGGTAGTCATCTTACTGTGAGTAGAGTTTTCCGTTTTGAACCACTGGAAGGACCCCAGGGACCCACAGAGGCCCACATGCCACTCTCCACGAACTAGCCACAGACTGAACACCAACCACACATACTAGAAGGAATATTCAGAACTGAAGTGGAGTGCTGCCACACAGCAGGAATAGCAACAGCATTGCTCTGAGAACAACTCTGGGAACCAGCCTAACCCCGCAGTGCAGTGAATAGGCCTGTGTCGGCCCTGGGTGCCACTGCGTGATGCCCTTCCTGTGTAGTTTGCCTCAGGCCAGCCCCCCTTGGCACCAAGGGCATCCCTGCCAGTGACTGTCCCTTCCACATTTGCACTTTGCCTTATCTGTGTTACACTTTAAAATAAAGTTCACTGAAAAACTGGGAAATTCAAGTGTCCTGCATCTACTAAATCAAAATGCTTCAAAGAATTATTTAGAGACAAATTAATCCTTCCCAAAGAAAGATTAATTCACAGCAGTGGAATGGGATGCTTTTGTTTAAAAAATCACAAAATGCAATAACTTTTGAAATTACAAAATAAAATAACTTGTGAAGAAGACAAAAATGTATATAACAGGGAGGAAAGTCCCAGGACTGTCCTCCTCCATGGGTGCATTTACACTTACATGGCCCAGGAGGCCCTTTTAGAGTGCGTGTGGGCCGTAATGCAGGGTTCCACTGTTGGCAGGTTTGTGTCTGTAATGTGATAATATCTGTGTAGAAGTGGGGATGAGCAGGCTGCGCCTTCTTCCAGGGCTGAGTCAGGGCAGGGAGTCAGGACATTTGTCCGGCTGGCTGGCCACTGAGCCCTGACATGGCCAGTGCAGATGGGAGGGACAGCACTGAGGCTCAGAACAGTCAGGGAATGGTGCATGCGTAAAAGCCCAGGTCAGTGTGAGAGTGAGAGTGACAGCAGCCATGGGGCGGGGCAGCCAAAGGCAACCAGTGCAGGCCCCGGCCTCCAGCTCCCCAGCCACCAGGATGCCTTTTTGTGGTGCTTTGCTTGCTAAATTCTTCCACTGGATAGTTTTCTATATTACCACAACCCATATTATTTAGCTATTTTTTTTTTAGTTTGAATCCCCCCACCCAGTTAGGCATTTCCATAGCAGTTGGAATCTTTGAAACTGCATGTTTTTCTGTGACTTTAGACCTCCATGGATATAGAAATGGTCTTTAGAGGTGAGAGTTTTCTCCTCTGTCACATATGAAGTTGTCCTTGGTGCTTGGTGCCTTGGAGGGAGGTGCATCACCCGTCACAGGAGCCGTGCAGTAGCTGGGCCCTGTTAATATATTACCAGGTGGAAGCAGAGGAAGGGCTCTCTGACCCCCTAGAGAAGTAAGGCTAAGCCTCCAGCTCTCCTGTGGAGAACAGCCCTGAGCAATGCCATAAACGCCTTTGCTTGTTTGCTTGCTTGTGGTTCAGGAAGGGCTGCGAATCCCAGGAGAGTTGTGGAACCCCACCCGTCCCACTTTCCTCCTCCCAGCATTCTCAGCTCTGCAGGACTCACCAACTTAGCAGGGCTTTGTGCTCCAAAGGACTGTTGTAGCTGCAGGGACCATGGTAACACTATCCAGAAGCCTAACCGGACAAACAAGCTGCCCACATCCTGAGGGAAAGAGTGTGTGAGGGAAAAAGAAAAGGAGGTGACATGCCCGGAGAGTACAGGTGGGCAATTGTTAATTTTATCACCACTGCAATTAATTATGACGATTATTCCTGGAGCTGTATAGGGTGAGATAGGGCCGCCTTGTCCTGCTCCCCATTAGGTTTGCTTCCAGATAAGTGTGGGTGTACTGCACTGCTCACATTAATCATCTGTGGACAGCTCACGTCCAGGCCCAGGCAGGCGTCCTACAAATAGCCTTGCAGCTGGGGAGGGAAAACGGGATCTCATGGTCCACATGGACCTCCCCAAATTTGTTTGGCACCAGAATTTCATGCATTTGCTCTTTGGGTGTGAGAATATACCCCAGAAAGTACAGCCCTAAGTAAGCATACTGCCCCCAAGAGCCAGGCCCTGCAGCCCACCCAGCCAGGATTTCCCTCAGCCTGTGGACTCTCCCATGGCAGCCAAGGTTATCCTGAGAGACCAGGGGCTGGTGGGACTCTGTAGGCCTGCACCTACTGGTTATAGGTTGAGTTGAAGAACAACAGGGAGTTGGTCCTGCCACTCAAGCTGTCCTGTGACTCAGCATAGAGCCCATTATACCCAAGCAGGACCCATCAGTTCCTGTCCCTGTAGACTGATACGCTGGTCTGGCAGCTCTGGCCTAATGGGTCAACATAAGGTGCCAGGCTCCTCCTCAGTGTGCTTGAAGAATAGAATCTGTGGTCTGTAGACTCACGTAAAAGTCCCCGCAGTGTGTGAAACCCAGATCTCAGTGTTCGTACTGGACTCAATCCTTCAGACGCGTCGTGCCGCAGCCTTTGAAGAAGATCCCCCACCCCTCCAGGCTCTCTCAAGGGAGTTTTTTTGCCATGGTAACAGCAATGCTGGTGTCTTGCCCTGAAGTAGTGGTTTCTAAGAGCATGAGTTGAATCCTGTTTCCTTACAGATTGGCACTTCCCAGTGCTGTTTTAGGCTGAGCCTTAATGCGTTTCTATTTCATACTGTGTCAGCTGCGCACCAGATACATGTCTGAAGACAGCCAGGCAACAGCAACAGGTTTGGAGCCCTCACACATCTTACTCAGCAAGAATAACGTGACCTATACAGTCCACATGGAAAAGCCAGCCAGCCTGCGTTCCACCTAGTGATTTCCATCTGCTGCACTTGAGTATTGGGAAGAGGCTGGACTTCCTGTGGGTGAAGGCTTCCTGCTCTCCACTCGCAGCAAAGAACTGCCTGGCCCAGCACAGCCACCAGAGGACAACAGATGTCACACTCTACAGACCACCCAGAGCCCTTGCTGCCCACATTCAGACCAGCGTGGGGCTTGTTCCAGTTGAATGACTCAGTGTGTTCGTCCTTCATCCTTTAGAAGCTGGGGCAAATCTGTTAGCCTGATTGCGCAGCACTTGGGGCTGTGGGGCTGTGCGGGGAGCCTGCTCTGGGCCTCAGTTCTGTTCCTTAGGGAGCTGGGTTAGAACGTGTACAGGGCACTTCCAGTGGGGGTTGAGCTTCAGTGTAACCATAGTTGGGATAAACTGAGAAGCACAGGAATAATGTGACCTGTCATTTGACATGTGTAGAAATAAGACAAGCTATTGACTGGCTCTTTTCTCTGAAAGAAAAAAAAAATGCATGGGTTACTTGTATTTTGTATTCTTTAAAAATATAATGTTGTCATCAGTAAAAACTATGTAAGTTTGGTTTTAGCCCAGCTCAATTCTTTAATCTAGTAAAATAGTGCTTTGTGAGAATCATGGGTCATAAGCCCAGGTGGATCTCAGCAGAGAGCCGAAACAGTAAATGTGTTTTATGAGGCACCAACCCACTTTAGGTGGTTGGGGCACAGAGACAATAGGCCTTAGGTCCTCTCCATGGGCAGTGGGAGAAGAGGCCAGGCCTGCGGGTGATCCGAGTCCCTCTCCAAAGGCCCATAGAATCAACACGTGACAGGTGTCCATGACAGCATAAGCTTGCAAAATCAATAGCATTCTCCTCTTCCAGGAAAGCCAGCAGGAAAGTCTAACAGTGCCATTCTCAACAAATACCACGTGGCATTTTGGAATTAACCTGAAAAAACACATTAAACTTTCACAAGGACAGTCTTTAGAGTCTGCTGAGAGCTGGAAGCGCGTGAGTGAGCAGGCGCACCACACTAGGATGTGCAGCTAAACAGAGAAGGATTCTTCGCACACTCCATCATTCTTGGCAGAATCTGTTACTGTGCTGCAGCCCCAGTCCCAGTGCCTGCTTGTAGTGGGTTTACCTCTTAGAATGAATAGTGGATTTGGGTGGGCCTGACAGACAGTGCTGTGCCCTGGGGCCAGGCCAAGATGTTCATTGCAGACAGAGAAGGCAGCAAGTGGCTACTTCTTACAGCTAGGCCCAGAGATCTGTGGATCTTCTTTGTATGGATAAAGGAGCTGGTGACATGCAGAGACACAGCCAAGCCAGTGAGTGGAGCTGGGGACGGGATAATTTTCTGAGGCCCAAGTAACAGTCCTCCATGATGATATAGGATGTGCTCAGCACATGGGTTAGCAAGCCAGCTGCCCAGGCATTTGACAGTCATGCCTCCCCTGTGCTGGGTAGAGCCCATTCTCAGACCCTCAGAGGGAATGGACAGGGACTGAGGGAGCATGAGTCGGGGATAGTCACAACCCACTGTAGGTTGATGGCCCCAAGGTCCTGGCCTGAACACTGGATCCTCCCCACATTAAGAGCCTCAGGTGTTGGAGGAGGTGGAGAGAGATGTGTGCAGCTGGGTTGTCTCGAGCAGTCTGCAGACCCGAGCAGAGAGTTGTTTGATAGGGAAACTTGTAAGTTTGGCTTTGTATTCTTTTTTTTTTTTTTTTGGCAGAACCGGGGATTGAACTCAGGCCCTTGCTCTTGCCAAGGAAGCACTTATTCTACTGAGCCATCTCCCCATCCTTGCTTTGTATTCTTGAAACTTGTGTGTGTGCCTTCTTTCTCTGAATAGCACAGCCTTCCCTTTGGAACACAGGATGGCCGGAGCCAGCGTCCTGCTAACCTTTGCTTCTGTATGTCCCCAGCTACCCATACAGCGAGGACTCCAGCCAAGGTGAGCAGTACATGAACACTCGGTGCCCTGCGTGGTGTGACCGCATCCTCATGTCTCTGTCTGCCAAGGAGCTGGTGCTCAGGGTAAGTGGGAACCACCCCTGGGTCCAGCTGCAGGGATGGGCAGGGCATGAAGCAGGTGGGGGGAGCTGCCTAGCCTAGAAGTATTCCCTGTCAAGCCCTGACCTTATCCTTCAGTGAGCTGAGTGGAAGTTCTGGTTGTGTCTCCATCCATGGCTCAAGTCCTAGTGAGTGTCATTGTCCTTTTAGGCAGACACATGCATAAGTGGTCATTAGGCAGTAGTCTAAAAGTCATCGCTTATTGAAACCTTGCTGTTCAGTGTGCTCTTGTCCATGAACAAGATAGGCTGTGAAGTATGGTGGAGATGTCTCATTATGTGTTAGAGCCAGGGTTATATCATGACTCCATAAGTTAAAACCAGATGGGTGTCATTCTCAGGCGATCGGTAGAGCAGGGTCTTCCAATTCCTACATCTCAACATCTAGGGAGTGCTGATTCAAGGGAATCAGTATCTGACTTAGTTTTGACACCCGCCAATGAAACGTAACAATAAAGCATAGGGATTCATGTGAGAAGCAGCAGTTTGATGCTGTGTTTAGAGCTGTGGGTCTCCAAAGGGGCCAGTGTTTGGGAGGAAACAGGAAATACGAGTGGCCCCCCATGGGCCTGGGGCTCTGTCGGTTCTGCCCCTCGGTCCCTGATGCCTAGGCCCAGAGAACAGGCCCCCTTCTAGCAGTCCTCACCTCTGTGTGATGCTTGGTTGAGTTCCATTTACTTTGATCTTCCTGTCTATGTCCTTATGCCAAATAACTGCCCAACACCCCACTGGGCCTTGAGGACCTCTTCCCAGTTGTTGGCCGGCCCTGCCAGCTTCCCCTGGAGGCCTGCTGGCCTTTGGTGTATGGCCACTGTCCTTAGGTTCAGTACTGGGCTCCTCTCCGCTTTCCCCAAGCCTGGAGCATACTGAGCACAAGTGCTCAGTTCCTGGCCGTGGCGAGGAGCCTGCCAGTCACAGCCAGGAGCAGAGATGGGGTTGTGGGGCAGATGCCCTTGGATCTCTGGCAAGTTTGGGTGGGGCAGAAGGCTGCTCAGGACAGCCGTGGCAAGCTGCCTACCTTCCAGCTTGGCAAGGGCCTATGTCTGTCTGTACCTCCTCCTTTGGGGCATCACTGAGGAGAGGCCACGGTGGAGCCTTCCTTGCTGAGGGCTTGTAGAATAAAGCTGTACTTGGGTGGAGACCAGGAGCCCAAAGATGCAGGGTGAATTCAGGGGCCTAGGCTTGGACACTTCGCTGCCCTTACTAATCTGGGCTTGCTCATCGGCTTTGTGAAGATGGCAGTGTGGGAAACAACCAGATAGTAGTTAGATGGTGACTCATGGTGGACATTCTCATCTGCTGGTTAGAACAAAGCCCTTCAAGGGACTTAGATACAAAGAAGAGAGACTCATCCTCCACCAGGGAAATGTCTAAGGTCACAAAAACTTGTGGTAAACTCTGTAAGATAACATGTTCCTTAAGGATTGGTGGGTAGAAGCACGGCTGGAATCTGTGGCTGGCACCTGCAGACCCCAGGGAAGGCAGTGTTGTGGCCTGCTTCACATTCATTCACAGTGCGCTGGGTCCCAGGCCCAGGGTTCCACACCTTAAAGTTAACAGCGGGAGGCTGAGCTCTGCTCTTCAGCTGGGCTGAGGACAAAACACACCCCGGGGATGTCTTCAGGGCTGGAGTCAGATCAGCTCTCCCCCGGGGCTGCCCAGTCAGTGGGCAGTACAGCACGAGCAGACGGCGCCACGAGCAGCCTCTGCGTGCCATCCATCATGCCATGCTCCAGTTCCTCATCATCATGTTCCGTTCTGCTTCCTGAGCCCTAAAACACCGGAGGTGGCGTGCTGCCTGGGAGCCTCCACGATGAATGCGCGGCGAGACGGGCTGTGTCCTGCCTGCGCCCTGCTGTCATTTGTTTATCTGTCCAAAGATTATGCAGTTGAAAATCCACAATTTTATGCTGCCTTTGTAAATTACCACACTGCATTTGATGAATGTTTCCCCACTTCCGCAGAGGCGGCTTTATGCTTGTGAAAGATTGGAAAGTGTTCATGCATGCGGTGCCGAAGGTTATGTTTTTATACTTTCTGGCAGGCAACCATGTTGGAAAGTAAATCTGACCTTAAGCTTCCTACTGCATTAAAGATAATTCAGTTTTAACTTTATAGTCTCGGAAGCTTCAGCTGCAGATATAAAACTTTAGCCCAGTCAAAGCTGACTGATTACCAGCAACAAAACCTTTACCATCCCGCCCAAAATACAAATGTGTGCCAGCCTTGAGCCACTGCAGGGGTGAGGGAAGTGTGTACAAGGCAGATAATTAGTAGGTACACAATGCTTTTGCAGTGCAGTGCAATTCAGGGCGTCCTCGTGTGCAGAGCTCTAGGTTAATACAGCAGATTGTCAAGAGCAAATGTAAATAGGGAAAATCAGAAATAGAGGAGCTGCTTCAGTCTGAGGGCGTGCTCGAAAGGAAGTTCAGAGTGGCTCTAACTGCAGTGAGCAGGGGCCCTGTGCCTGCCCCAGTGGCTGTGGCATGCAATGGCATTAGAAAGAGAGTTGGGAAGTCCTGACTCCCCTGAGCCCCCTCTATCATGTCACCTCTGCCGTAGAATCAGGGTCCCACCCAGCAGAAGAGCTGGGCCGGGGTGGTGAGGTACTGTAAGATGAGCAGATGGTCTCCCATGCTGGCCACTTCCTGTTGGGGACCCTTATGGGGGCCATAGCCCCTCAGGAAAGGGAGTAGGTCAGGGGATAGTGGTTCATTCACAGGAACCACCCCCACTGTGCTCCCCTCTTCCCAGGACACCCCAGAGCCCCTGCCTGCCGGTCACTTCTTGGCAGGATAATGGGATACCCCAGCCTCCCCACACTACCCTCTTTCTGTTTGCTTCTAGTCGGAGAGTGAAGAGAAGATTGTCACCTACGACCACATCGGGCCCAATGTCTGCATGGGAGACCACAAGGTAATGTGTGCAGGGGCTGGATGGCCAGTGGGCGGGCGGCAGGCAGGTAGTCTCTCGTCTCCTTAGTCTGTACAGAATGTGCCAAATTGATCTGATTGGATTTAATTTTAATAAAATCCTGAAAGATAGTTGAATAGGTAGGAGAACACGATACAATATTATTGTAGTTTATAAAAAAAAAGTTTTATGTACAGCTGGTTATTTTTGAAGGCCATTTTTCAGGTATGCATTTGGAGTATTTTCATGGCCTTGTTATTCCAAGCTCACGTCCACTGGGCAAGGTAGTGAGGAGCCGCCCAGACCTGGTGTACTGAGGCCCAGGCACTGCTGAACCGAACAGGCTGCTTGCAGGTGTGACTGCCCCTCAGCTCAGCAGCCCAGCAGTCCCCATCAGCTGGTCACTAGCTGATCGTGCCCCATTTCCAGCCACATGAGATGAATTCATTTTCTCTGCATTCAAGGCCTCTTGAATTTATTTCCAAGGATAGGCATGTTTGCACGCCCATAATACTTGGGACTTATTTAGCAACTCCTCAAATCAGTTACAAAATTATACTGATTTTTTTCTGAAAAACTCCTTCCAGATGAACAGAAAGGACTGTCTCAGGCCTTTTGTGGCCCTGCCCCTATATTCCAGGTCCAGGCTAACAGACTCAGTCTCTGCTCTGCACACAACTTAGTGTCCCATCCTCTGGACATGGTTCCAGCCCCCAGGAGACTCGCGAGCCAGGGGCCAGGGGGAGGCAGCAGCACGTGGCCTGACACCCCTTTATTCTCCCCACTGCAGCCTGTGTTCCTGGCCTTCCGAATCGCGCCCGGGGCAGGTAAACCTCATGCACATGTACACAAGTGTTGTGTCGTGCAGTGACGTGGTGGTAAATATGATTTCTTCCCTTAGTTCTCCTTTTCTTCAGCTTTTCCTGGTGTGTTTGTTCCTTTAACAAGTTACTAATTCCACTTCAGGGAAGAGGTGCCAGCGCAATGAGAGGACCCTCCGAGAGACCTCCCTGTAGCAGCATATTGAAACTTGTACTCCTAACAGCTGCATCAGAAACCTGCCCAAGCACCACCTGCTAGATGGCCGGCCCCACACTTCGCTTCAGCCTCCGGACCATTCCGGAAAAGCCTCACATACCTCACTGTCGTGTCTGTTCATGTGACATTAAGTAGAAACATTGGGTTTTTTAAAGACAAGTTACAGTCCTGTTGCCAAAACTCTGATAGCAAAGAGATTCTTGTATTTTAGATTTCACAGTTTTCCATTCTTAATCATTGTCTGTGGAGGAGCTTCTCCAGTGTAGTCAGCCCAAGGTGTCAAGCGTCCCTCTCTGCCAGGAGGGGTTGTGCCTGGGCGGCCCGGGCAGTGAGGCCTCCGCGTCCACCCCAAGGCCCCTCTGTGGTCCGACTCTACTGCCATGTTACATGGTGTCTGAATCACACTGCAGCTGCTTTCCATTTTTATATATATAAATACATATAAATATATACTTTTTAAAAATAATTTATAAATCTTACCAAAACTTATGCTAAATATACTTTCCAGTATGAATGCACGAGTGTCATATCAGCAGGTAGAGCTGCAGTCTAGGAGTTCAGCGATGTGCACGTGAGCACACACGTTTCCGAGACGGCATTGACCTAGCAGTGCTGTGGGGCGAGCGGCCCCTCTGCACTCTGTACTAGCAGTTTGTCACTCCTCTGCCTTTCTCTGTGTAACTTTAAGAACTGAATGTGAAGTTTATAGTTAGCCTGGGTGTACCTTTTAAGAATTTTGTAAACTGTTTTGTCTGTCTTTTGTTACCGTTTTATGGTGCCGATATTCTACATTAAAACCATAATCTCGTGGGAAAATTAGAGTAGCCTCGTCCGCTTCCCACAGAGATCGCTTCTGACGTGAGCTAAATACAACGTGGGAGAGAAGCAACCCTGGGCTGCGCTGCACTGCGCTGCTGACGCTGTGTCACTGCCCTGTTGCCAACAACACCCTGCTCCCAGCACTGAGCACAGCGTCGGAAGGTGACTGCAGAGCCTGTTGACGAAACACAAGCGTGCGCTTTATTGATTTACTTCAGAACACTACAGTTCCTGGACTGCAATCGATGTTTGTTTTTATAGAAATCACTACTGTCAAGTCACTTGGTGTCTGCATGCCGACCTGTGTTCTTGACGCTACGCTGGTCGGTGTCTCTGTTAAAGTGCTGCGGTCGCTGCCCGTCAACATGCCACCTTGCAGCCACCATGCGGCGAGTCTGTCTGTGGGCTTCAGCTGTGGGTCATTCCGAAGGCCTTTGGAAGTGACTGCTCAGTTCCTAAGCAATAAAATTGATCATGGTGAAAACGGTTCTTTGCTGGCTTTGTTTTCCTTCCTTCCCAGTTCTCATCACCTTTGAAATGCTAAGTAATGGGAGGGGCCTCCTTTGTGCCCTGTTGTTTGCTGTGAGCTCATTCCTAGTCCTGGAATGTCACTGTGTCACAGACTGTCACAAGGCCTTCGTCTGTTAGATGGGAGTAGAAAATAATTGTTTGGACTTTTTACTGTAGTAAAATAAGACTTGTTCTGTTTTTAATGGGATTGTATAAATGCTTTCCTCAAAACTTTAAAACTGGAAATGCCTCCCTGCTCTTTAAGCTGACAGAATGGTTCCCACACAGAAATGATACCTCAAGTCCTTAAAAATTTCGTTTAAAAAGTAGGTCCCTTGGGCTGGGGATGTATAGGTCAGCAGCACAGTGCCTGCCTGGCAAGCACAAGGTCCTGAGTTCAATTTCTGGTATCGAAAAAAAATTTTTAAATATAGCTCCCTTTTAAAGAAAATTTACCAGTAGCTCAAAAGAAAAGTGGTGCAGCAAAATTAGTAGTTTAAAAAAAGCCTTCTGCGTTTCTCTAAAATGGTTTGAAAGTTCATTCCAAGAGAAATCTTGTACTAATTACTTACACATAATAACATGAAATTAAAACATCAGTGCCCGTTAAAATACAGCTGTGGAGCAGCAGCCAGAGTCTGACCACAGCAGATTGGCTTTTGGTAACAGAATGGGTGCTGTTTATAACTGGTGGGCATACTGCTTGGTGAAGATACCGCTCATGGTGAGGAGCAGCGGCTGGTGGCTGGCTGTGCCCTTGCTGTGTGCCCGCGTGGGGAGCCAGCCCTCAACATCTGGGGTAAAGGCTTGGAATCCATCCTAGGGTGGTTCAGCATGGAGATTTGTAAGCTGATCCTCAGCAGGCACAATTATTTTGAATTTCTCTTTGCAGTTCTAGCTCGCACAAAATAGTGATTTCTGGCAATGAAAACTCTATTAGCATGGTAGCCAAAGAGCCATAATGTAAAATCTCCACCCCAATTTCACCCGAAGCACATTTAGCAGGCCTATTCAAAATACTTAATATTCGGGCTAAAGGACTTTTCAAAAATAATCATTTCAAAATGCCTGCACCCAAGACAGAGGACACAGAGGCAGAGCTGACTTGGATTCAATCTCAGCAGCGGATCAGGAGCTGGACACGGCTTACTGCCCCGGGCTGCGAAATGGAAGAAGTGCCTCCCAGGGTGCTGGGTGTGGGCGGGCAGGATCGCTGCTGACTCGTCTTTTGGAAAACCCCAGGTGTGTTTTAGTCTCTCCAAACCTCATCCTTCTGAGCCAGCGCAATCGAGGACGCCTCGCATGGTGCATCGCCTGTCTTTAGGTGCCAGCAGCCAGGGCTCTGGCCGCGGGAGGTGGATCCGTACCTGCCGCGGGGCCACGCCTGCTGAGGGCCGGGATCTATGCTGCTCCGGTTCGCGCCTCTCCCTGTGGCTCCGTGCCTTCTGCTAGACGCCCAGAGTTGCGGGCTGGGTCGCCCGCCCTGCGCTCGTGCTCGAGTCCTGCGGGTCTGGCAGTCTCTGAACTCCCAGGCTCCACGAAGCCCGCAGCCTCAAACCCGGGTGCGCACACCGGCCCCGGGTGCACTCCAGTGCCGCGCCCAGGCACCAGGCTGAGAGGATGGGACAGCGGCAGGAGGGGACGGGCTGCCCACAACGTCTTGCTCAGAGTGGAAAAAACACGCGGTGCAGCCTCGGGAGCCACGGCTCCGACCGGGACGTGTTAAATAATTTATTGATTATACAAAGTGATCCGCCCACCCCACGCCTACGCGAAGGGATGCCGCGGGACCCCGCACGTCGCTCTGGAGCCAAGCCGCTTTATAACTTATTCTGTAAAAAATATATATACACACTGTGGCGCGGCGGCTGGCGTCGGGGCTCCGGCAGCGCCCGGTACTCTGGTTCTGTGGCCTGGCTGAGGCCTCACAAGGCGTCCCCTGCGCCACCGCCGCACGGGCTGACCAGCGCCAAGTTCGAGGGTTTGTGCTTCTTGAGCAGCCGCGTGATTTTCTCGTCGTCCGAATTAGGGTCCAGGGGCCGGTTGTACTCGTCGTCGTCCTCTGCGTCGGAGCCGCCCACCTTCAGCTTCTCGGCGTCTGAATCTTGCTTCTTCTTGGCCGAAGCCATTTCCGCCGCGTGCCTCTTACGCCATTTGGTTCGCCGGTTCTGGAACCACACCTGGGATGGAGGGGAATCGTCAGTCGGGCCTCCGAAGCCCCCAGCCCTGGGCCTCGCTGTCTCTCGGGCCCGGCCCTAACCCCGCCGTCTGCATCCGCAGAGCCTCCTGGCCCGCCGGCAGCTTACCAGCCCTTCGCAGGACGCGGGCTCCCGAGCCAGCCTCGGCCCGATGGAGTCCCGCGGAAACCGCCCGGTTGCGCTCACCTTCACCTGGCTCTCAGTCATGCCCAGCGAGTAGGCAAGCCGGGCCCGCTCCGGGCCCGCCAGGTACTTGGTCTGCTCGAAGGTCTTCTCCAGCGCGAAGATCTGCTGGCCTGAGAACGTCGGCCGCGAGTGCTTCTTCTTGCCGTCCTTGTCCAGGATCCCGGTGCCCTGGGCTGTGAAGGAGGGTGAATGAGCGCGGCCAGCCGCACCGCCAGTCCGCCCGCGCCGAACCCCGCGCAGATACTTACCCGGGCCGGCCAGGCGCGGGTCCCTCCACGGCGAGCCCTGCACCACGCCAGGCCAGAAGATAGGCGGGCGCCCCGGCAGCTCGGCCAGCGGCTTGGGGTAGCCACGCGCCACGGCGGCCGCAGGCCCGAAGTAGACGCCGGCCGACGAGGCTAGCCCGTTGAGGCGGGGCAGGCCACCCAGGAGGCCACCGCCCGCCGTGCCCACAGGTCGCCCCAGGATGTCGCTGATGCCGTGCGGGGTGCCGAGAGGCAACTGTGCCCCTAGACCGCTCAACGTGGGCGCCTTGAAACCGGCAGGACCCTGTAGCGTGTACGGGAACAGCGAGGTCTTCATCTCGGCCATGTTGTGCAGCGCAGCCAAGGGTGCGCTGCTAAGCACGAACGCGCCCGGGCGGTTAGCGTCCATGGGCGCCGCCGCCGCGGGCCAGGGCGCCCATCCGGGCCCCGCCGCGGCAGCCCGC